TAATGCTGTATTTATTTATTGAATTTTGGCACTTTTTATCCTCCATACATGTGTTTAAGGTCACTTGTAAAAAATAAACGCATTATTCGGTTTTCTCGAAAACACTGCTTCCACTACATTGTAACAAAAAAAAAATTCTTGTTTTAATAAAAATTAACAGAAAACTAAAGGAAGGTAACCCTCACTGGTGCAGCCTACATGCCGATCCTCTGAGAAGAGCAGCCATCCGTCAAAGTGTGATCCTCGATACTCGTGTCAGCAGACGTGCAACAAGGCAAAAGAATAATGGGAATTATTTCTGACCTTAAAATATCAGCTAGAAGGACGGAAACCGTTACAAATAGAGTAATAAAAAAATAAGGAAATCCTATAGTTGTAAACTACCCCCCCGATGCTGGGGACTTCCTTTAAGATGACGGCATGTGACGGTTGGCGAGATCACACAAGAATGTTCATGTTTATAAATCCACCAACCCATCAAGGTCCTGGAAAGTATTCCAAAAGAATTACTGTGGAAAGACTTTGAGACATCCCAACCAAATACTTCTATGTCGGATATTTCTGCATCGCCAACGGTTCAGATGGCGTCACTGCTGGAGGTCACATGTTTTTGCTGTTTACAATTTATTCAAAATGTACAACAAATTGTAAACAACAAAAGAAATATGATTACACGTGTAAAACATGTTACAATTTTTTTAATTTTGAATGGAAAAGGTACATTATTATAGAGCTTTGTTCTTACTGATACAGTGATTCAGTGGCGCAGTGGGTAGCACTGCTGCCTTGCAGCAAGAAGGTTCTGGGCTCCATTCCCGGCCCAGGGTCTTTCTGCATGGAGTTTGCATGTTCTCCCTGAGCATGCGTGGGTTTTCTCCGGGTACTCCAGGTTCTTCCGACAGTCCAAAATCATTACTGCTAGATTCTCCTTAGAGTCTCTGTATCATTAGTCTGTGTAACGATTCGATAACCAAATGAGTTAACGATTGTTTCAATAAGCTATCAATCCTAATTAATCTGATTTATCATCTCAGCCCTAATTTTTAAACAGTTTTTAAACAGTTATACAGTGTATTTTCAATTGAAGATACAAAGAGCCTGGTATTCATAGTTTCCAAATGCAGGACGCTAAGTTGCACATTTTTTTTTTCTTTTGCAGATTCAATAAGTGGGTGTGTTGCAGGTGATTTACAGAAGTTGCTTGCACAAATATATAGATGTGCAAAGGGAGCAGTTGGAGGTAATAATCATCCGGTTTTCACGTGATCGAGCACGAACAGCAACTGGCCTGTCATTATGAAGACCAAAGATTAAAGAACCGGTCGTTGCATTGCTGATGAGTTTTTTTCTGATGGGACTTGCATCTTTCTCCTACACTTGGTCCATGTTTGCTTTGGTCAGAGGACCCAAAACGGGGACGAATCATCCAACAGAGGTAAAGGGAGACAGCATTCTGAGCTCAGACAAGCAGCAGAGAATCAGTTTGAGAACACCGAGAGAATGATCAGGACGAGGTGGCCAGCCATGCCGGAGCTGAGGAACCACAGCCTGCCGGGGAAACAATGCAAGGACGGAGAGAGGCTATGGCCGACCCAGGCTAGCTAGGCTACATGTGGAGGATCGAAGGAGTACGACGGAAAATTGAAAAAATCAGCGCGGGAAACAGAACGCTGAGTGAGGGGCAGAGGCTACTGCTGGTCAGGAGTAATACAGCAGTATTGCAAATTAATAAAAAATAATCCACTGGACTTTTTGTTTCCAAGTTTGAAGACGTTTCGCTTCCCATCCAGGAAGCTTTTTCAATTAAAAATGTCAGAATGTCAGAGTAGAGTTCCAGGCTTTATACAGTAGCCCAACTAAGCCTTTAAAAAACATGCAAATTGAAACGGAAAAAACATTGTTTTTAATGGAACAGTGAAAAACAATCTTTAAAAATGAAACTTTCTAGTTTTTTTTTTGTCATGTTGCTGTTTTTTCAGATTTTGTCATTTCAATACATGTTTGTTTGTTTCAAATTTATTGTTGAGATTTTTTTTTCCAAATATATTTTTTTATATTTTTCAATTTGACTGTATGATCTGGTTGAATTGTAAAGTGCCTTGAGATGATATGTGTTGTTATTTGGCGCTATATTAATAAAATGAATGGAAAATTGCAT